ATGCAGGCCTCTCACTGCTGCGGCCTCTCCCGTTGCGGAGCAACAGGCTCCGGACGCGCAGGCTCAGCGGCCACGGCTCACGGGCCCAGCCCCTCCGCGGCCTGTGGGATCTTCCCGGACCGGGGCACGAACCCGTATCCCCTGCCTCGGCAGGCGGACTCTCAACGACTGCACCACCAGGGAAGCCCGGATAGAACTTTTAGCTGATGAGTTTTACAAGAGTTTTACTTTTTGAAGATGGTGAAATTTGAGCAAAATGCTGAAGACAAGTCTAAGATCTGTAAAATGTGATTTTTTACTTCTTTTTGTAATACTTTTGATTGGGGAGATGCTGTGGAAATTTAATTATGGAAAAAAAAAACCTATACCTTTCTTGTAATTGTGGCATGCGTGGGTGACTTAGTGGCAAATAAACATTTCCCAGCAGGCCTTTTATTGATTGCACTTACTGCAAGGCTGCTGGGAAGTGGAGCCCATTTTTGGTTGATGAGCTCTGACTGCCATTTTGGAAACTAATCTCTACTCCTTAGCTCAGTATGCTCTCTCAGGTCCTCCTCTCATCTCCAATTCTCGGTCCAAATAAAGCTGTTTTTCCTGAGGGGGTGGTCGGGGAGATAGTATAGACTTACTTTTCTCTGTTCCTCCTTTCTAAATCTACTTAATACCTTGGAAATATTCAGCAGTATAAAATGACTTTGAAATATAGAAAAAAGGAATAGGACTGGCTAAAGACCTTAGAACTTACAGAACAACACCAAGTGAGTTAACTGGTTTTCTTTTTATCTCCAATTTATCTGAGTTGGGCAGCAGTTGCGACTCAGAACTGGCAACAGGCATAGGCAAAATAATAAATCTATAAATAAGCATGAAAAGCCTGTTCTCTTTGGCCAAAAGATCAGGAAAGGGAAAGCCCAGTAGAGACTTAGTGGGATGACTCGTACCAAGTGACAGCAGCTGACCCATTAGCAGTGTTTGGGGGCCAACCCATCCCCTACCCAAACCTGCAATAGCAACAGCAGAATTTGGAAGGGTTAGCCCACCCCATTCCCCACATCCGCCAACTAGTAATGGACCTGATCTGCCAACAGTGGAACCAGGAGGCCCAAAACACAGGACTCGTATGTGCCAGCAGCAGCAGTATGTCTGCAGGAGTGGCAAGGGCAGAACCCACGGGGCCAACCCATCCTCCACCCGACAGCAGGCAGCAGCACACAGGCTCCCTCCACCTGCACTGGTGGTACCAGTAGGCCCTGTGTGTCTCTGTCCTTCCCCCAACAGTGGAGAGAGAACTAGACCTGGCAGCACCTGGCCCTCCACCAGGGCCATAGTAAGATCCAGACCAAGTGTCTCCCAATCCTCCATCCAATGGCAGAAGGCAATCCAGGGGCAGGAGGTAAACTAGACCAGGGTCTCCCAAACCTCTACCCAGTGGCAGAGAACTATGCAGCCCAGACCCCACAGTTCTTGACCTTGTACCCAGTGGCAAAAGACAGCCCATGTAGTTGCTTGCCTTCCCCAGCAGCACCAACAGTGATATAATGGGAACCCCATTAGTACCAGGAGACCAGAGAACATACCAGGAGAAAGGTTTTCCCTCCTGCAGGTCCAGCACCCCTCATCCCCACCTAATGACACCAGGCAGCCCAGGGAAGCACCTTCCACTCCTGCAGGGAGCACCAGCAGGTTTCCAGCTGGAGCTCACGCAAAGCTAACACAACAAGCAGACCAGAATAGGGCTCAGAAAACTAAATTATCATTGGCCATACAAAGACTTTATGCATACGGCCATAGAAAGACTTGTATCTTTGAGTGAGCATTAGACAAAAAGTCCTTTCCTTGTTTGTCTACGCTAGTAGACATACCTATTTGAGAAGTCTTCTTAGGAGAAGTAAAAGACTCCTGCTCAACTTATTCCACCTGTTCTCACTTTCCAGAAGAAGAAAGATCACACTAATAAGAATTATTCTCTGGGAATTCCCTGGCTGTCCAGTGGTTAGGAATTGGGCTTCCATTGCCATGGGCCAGGGTTTGATCTCTGGTCAGGGAACTAAGATCCCACAAGCCGTGCAGTGAGGTCAAGAGAGACAGAGAAACAGAGAGAGAGACAGACAGAGACAGAGAGAGGGACAGAGAGAGGGAGGGGGAGGGAGAGGGAGAGAATTATTCCCTAAATAAATTTGGGGCAAATATACATATAGATCTGTTAAGCAGTAACTGTGTAGGTGATGCATTTGTTTGTCAATGGATATTTATATGCAGTGTCTGATTGAAATGTAATATAAACTTGTTTTTAGATACTGAAATTTTTTAGGCCAGAAATACTGTTATTGAAAATATGTAACACTATAAGATTAACCAAATAGTCCACAACAAACTAAATTGACTATGATAAAGGAAAAGTAAAATTAATTCATTCATTTCTTCATTCAACAAATATTTATCAATTACCTACTATGCATCAGTCAACAACAACAAAATCTCTGCCTTCATGGAACTCACATTCTAACAGAATTCAAAAGCAAGAATAGCAGTTGATATTACAGGATCAACGTAAGACAACACTAATGGTCTTTCAGATTGTCTTGTGGGGTGGGCCTGAATTACTTCTAAATGCCTGCCCTGTGCATGATCTGAAGCTTTGTCTCAGACAGAATTGGATTGTGAGTTGAATCATATTGGTATTGATAGTATCTAGGTGAAAATAGGTCCAGAGAACTCATGAGTAAATAATTAATTTCTTAGAGTAATAAAGCATAGAATATTGAAAGTTAAATGGGCACTTTTCCCTCCCCCAGTATAATCAATTTCCATAGGAATTGTTTCTAGCCAGCTGGCTGTGAGACAAGCTGAATAAAGACTAGAAGGTTTCAAATATTTTTAAATCAAAATATTTACAAAGATAACTATCCTGCTCATATACCATATTCCATTTTAAAACCCTCTTTGTAGCCAGGATTTCTTCTCAATATCAAATTGAGAAATCTATGTATAAAGATATCAAATCACTATGTTGTATACCTAAGGCTAATATAATATTGTATGTTAATTATAATTCAATAAAAAAAGTTTAACAGCTGAGCCTTCTGGGGAATCTATATTTCTTTACACAGGGTCTCAAAGTAGTGGTAAACCTTTAGATCAGAATTTGGCTATGTGTTCAATTTAGAAGACTGCCATTAGTGATTATCAGTATGCTCCACTAAGTGCCAGTGGCAAGCTTAAACAGACAAAAAAGAAGAAAGAGAATCAAGAGGGAAAAATAGTTATTATGAAGTGGTAGAACTTACCTATCTGCTATGTATTGCCTTTCCTTGGTTGTTAATCTATAACTACTTCTGAAAATAGAAGTAGATGGAAGTAGAAAAATACTTGTTGGTTTTGCTTTGGAAATTTAATTGATAAATCTAAAATAGGACTTAAAATTTTTTCTTTTCAGAAGTTTAAGTACTATCTAAAAGAGAAATGTGTTCATGTGTCAACTTGGCAAATTCAAGTTTTCTAAGACATTAATTTAGAAAAGTGAAATCTGTTTGGTTAATTGGTGGCATCTTTTAATGAGAAGCTTGAGTTTTGTTGAGGAAAGAAATGTTCAGACAATCCTATGGCCTTTAAAAAGTTTGGCTTTATACTGCCAGGCAGCCAGATACTAAGAGGAGAACATAACAGTTGTAATTGAGTAGCTTGAACCTCCTGGAGATTTCCAAGCTGTATCCTATAATATATTATGGTCATGTTAAGCAGTGTATTAATTCAGGGCACCTTGGAAGGGTGCTGGGGAGTATCACTTGATAACTGAAATGCTCAATTGTTGATATTTAACTCATAGTCTCAGGCTCTTACCAGGAATCCTCAGTGCACTGCTACTTAAAAAGAGGGAAGGCAAAGAATTCCCTGGTGGTCCAGTGGTAAGGACTCCGCTCTCACTGCCGAGGGACCTGGGTTCAATCCCTGGTCAGGGAACTAAGATCCCACATGCCGCGCAGCACAACCAAGAAAAAAAAAAAAGAGGGCACATTTCGATACACCAGTTTTGTATCTCATGCTACCATCATAGCATCAAAAAATAGACGTTTAAATCATGACTAATGTCAACACACAGTAGAATGAAATAGTTGATGATTTCAGTGATTTTAAACTTTTCTTTCTTTTTTTGATATGTGTGCAGCAATGAAAACTGCTGGATGTAACTTAGATAAGGTAAATATTCTTCCTAATGCTCTGATCACTCCACTCATATCAAGCAGTGTGATTAAGAGTGAAGATGTTACTCCAATGGAAGTAACAGCAGAGAAAAGATCTTCCCCTATTTTTAAGGTGAGCTGCATTGATTAGTGCCCCACATGTTAAACCTCAAATATAAAAATTGCTGTATTTTGAGTAGTTTTGATTTCTTTTCCCCATATTTATGCTTTTTACTTCTCCTATTTCTTTTATATCTGTTTCTCTTGGGATTCACTTAATGAATTTTGCTTTGCAGAGTAAATGATTTTATATTCAAATAAAATAGCCTGCGAAGCAACTTCCAATATACATTTTTTTTAACATCTTTATTGGAGTATAATTGCTTTACAATGGTGTGTTAGTTTCTGCTGTATCACAAAGTGAATCAGCTATACGCCAATATACATTTTTTTTAACATCTTTATTGGAGTATAATTGCTTTACAATGGTGTGTTAGTTTCTGCTGTATCACAAAGTGAATCAGCTATACGCCAATATACATTTTTGACAAGGGAGGGATTAATACATTAGCTAGACCTTTGTGATGTGTGGTGTTAATGAAAGTACTGGTTTTAGCATTTTCAAAACTAGAGACATTTTATTTCCTTTTCTCCACCAGTCGTTTCCTATAACTCCTTTTCCATTTTACCTTTGTTCCCCCCTCTCAATAATGTTACCAGTGATCCACAAATGGACATATTTTTAAATTGACTATTAATTCATCAACCATAGAATTATTGTGTTCTTACTCTCCAGCAGCTGATTATTCTTCTACTTATTTGACTATCTGCTTATAATACTTATTTAAAAATCCCGATGACAGTAAGACATAATGTTATCACTGAGAATCACAGTCTTACACCTGTTTTCCAAATAATAATATAGAGGGTAAAATTGGCCCTGCATATGCTTTTATAATAATAATAATTTTTGAAGTATTATATGAGTTCATTTAATATTTATATGTACATGTTATTTGGCGATTTTTATTTTTTAGACTACAAAGACAGTTGGATCCACTCAACAAACATTAGAAAATATCTCTAACATAGCAGGAAATGGGTCTTTTTCATCATCATCATCATCTTCCCACTTACCTTCTGAAAATGAAAAGCAACAACAGATTCAGCCCAAGGCATACAACCCAGAGACCCTGACAACTATCCAAACACAGGACATTTCACAGCCTGGTACCTTTCCAGCAGTTTCTGCTTCTAGTCAACTGCCCAACAGTGATGCACTACTGCAGCAGGCTACACAGTTTCAGACAAGAGAAACTCAGTCTAGAGAGGTATTACAGTCAGATGGTACAGTGGTTAATTTGTCACACCTGACTGAGGCATCACAGCAACAGCAGCAGTCACCACTACAAGAACAAGCACAGACTTTACAGCAGCAGATTTCATCAAATATTTTCCCATCACCAAATAGTGTGAGTCAGCAACTACAGAATACAATTCAACAGCTGCAGGCAGGAAGTTTTACAGGCAGTACTACTAGTGGCAGCAATGGAAATGTTGACTTGGTCCAACAAGTTTTAGAGGCACAACAACAGTTATCTTCAGTTTTATTTTCTGCTCCAGATGGTAATGAGAATGTTCAAGAACAGCTTAGTGCAGACATTTTTCAACAAGTCAGTCAAATTCAAAATAGCGTAAGCCCTGGAATGTTTTCCTCAACAGAGCCAGCAGTCCATACCAGACCAGATAATTTAATAGCTGGAAGAGCTGAAAGTGTTCACCCACAGAATGAAAACACATTATCTAATCAACAGCAGCAACAACAGCAACAGCAAGTGATGGAATCATCAGCTGCAATGGTGATAGAGATGCAACAGAGTATCTGCCAGGCGGCTGCCCAAATTCAGTCGGAGCTGTTTCCTTCAACTGCTTCAGCAAATGGAAACCTTCAGCAGTCTCCAGTTTACCAGCAGACTTCTCATATGATGAGTGCGTTATCAGCCAATGAGGACATGCAAATGCAATGTGAATTGTTTTCTTCTCCTCCTGCAGTTTCTGGAAATGAAACTGCTACAACCACCACACAGCAGGTTGCAACTCCTGGCACTACCATGTTTCAGACATCAAGTTCAGCAGATGGAGAAGAAACTGGAACACAAGCAAAACAGATTCAGAACAGTGTCTTTCAGACCATGGTCCAAATGCAACATAGTGGGGACAGTCAACCTCAAGTTAGCCTTTTTTCATCTACGAAAAGTATGATAAGTGTTCAAAATAATGGTACTCAGCAGCAAGGTAATGGTTTATTCCAGCAAGGTAATGAGATGATGTCACTCCAATCAGGGAATTTTTTGCAGCAGTCTTCTCATTCACAGGCTCAACTCTTTCATCCTCAGAATCCTATTGCTGATGCTCAGAACCTTTCCCAGGAAACTCAAGGTTCTATTTTTCATAGTCCAAGTCCTATTGTCCACAGTCAGACTTCTACAACCTCCTCTGAACAAATGCAGCCTCCAATGTTTCACTCTCAAAATACCATGGCTGTGCTACAGGGCTCTTCTGTTCCTCAAGACCAGCAGTCAGCCAACATATTTCTTTCCCAGAGTCCAATGAATAATCTTCAAACTAACACAGTAGCCCAAGAAGAACAGATTTCATTTTTTGCAGCTCAGAATTCAATTTCTCCACTTCAGTCAACATCAAACACTGAGCAGCAAGCTGCATTCCAACAGCAGGCTCCAATATCACACATCCAGACCCCTATGCTTTCCCAAGAACAGGCACAACCATCCCAGCAAGGTCTATTTCAGCCTCAGGTTTCCCTGGGCTCCCTTCCTCCTAATCCAATGCCTCAAAACCAACAAGGAGCAATCTTCCAGTCACAGCACTCAATGGTTGCCATCCAGAGTAACTCTGCATCCCAGGAGCAGCAGCAGCAGCAACAGCAGCAGCAGCAGCAGCAGCAGCAACAGCAGAGCATTTTATTCAGCAATCAGAATACCATGGCTCCATTGGCATCTCAAAAGCAGCCACCACCAAACATGATATTCAACCCAAGTCAAAATCCAATGGCTAATCAAGAGCAGCAGAACCAGTCAATTTTTCATCAACAGAATAATATGGCCCCAATGAATCAAGAACAGCAGCCCATGCAATTTCAGAACCAGCCCACGGTTTCCTCACTTCAGAACCCAGGTCCTGCCCAGTCCGAATCATCACAGACCTCCTTGTTCCATAGCTCTCCTCAGATTCAGTTGGTCCAAGGGTCACCCACTTCTCAAGAGCAGCAAGTAACACTCTTCCTTTCTCCAGCATCCATGTCTGCATTGCAGAACAGTATAAACCAACAAGACATGCAACAGTCTCCCCTTTATTCCCCTCAGAACAACATGCCTGGAATCCAGGGAGCCACATCTTCACCTCAACCACAGGCTACTTTATTTCACAACACTACAGGAGGCACAATGAACCAACTACAAAATTCTCCTGGCTCTTCTCAGCAGACTTCAGGAATGTTCTTATTTGGCATTCAAAATAGTAAGAAACTCTTTCTAATTTCTCATTTCTTAAATGTATTGGTCGAAATGGTCACATTATTATTACTAGAAGAAAGCACAACATAGTGGTTTTAAGAGCACAGATTGTAGTTAGACAGAATTGAGTTCAAATCCCAGCTATACCACTTACAGACTGAGACCTTAGGATATTTGACCTGCTTGAACCTCAGTTTCCATATCTAAAGTGGTGGTAATATTACATACTTGAAAAGGATATTGGGAGGATTAAATGTGGTAACATATATAAATGTATGTGTTTGCCATTTTAAGATATAAACTTGAAAGGAAAATGAAATAAGAATGACAGAAAATTTTTCAGCCAATTGAAGTAAGTAGTTTCCAAGGAGGTAGAAAACCATGTTTCTTTAAATGTTTATATAGCAAGGAAATTATATAGGACTTATGGTGATAACTAAGCATTGTTGTATTTTTATACTGCTTAGAGGAAACCTAGGATGAATTCTACTACTGTTCAATGAAAACCTTTTTGGAGGCTGTCAGGTGCCTCACTTTTAACTCTATAATGAGCAAACACAGTAATGAATTTACCCCAGCCACTAATAAATACCTTCTTATGAATCTTAACAGAAAATAACTAATCAGGTAGCTTCTCTATTTTAAATATCTCTGCAGACTGTAGTCAGCTTTTAACTTCTGGACCAGCTACATTGCCAGATCAGTTGATGGCCATAAGTCAGCCAGGCCAACCGCAAAACGAGGGCCAGCCACCTGTGACAACACTTCTTTCTCAGCAAATGCCAGAGAATTCTCCACTGGCATCCTCAATAAACACCAATCAGAACATTGAAAAGATTGATTTGCTTGTTTCATTGCAAAACCAAGGGAACAACTTAACTGGCTCCTTTTAACTGGATATGTGAGTATTGCATTTTGGCTTTTTTCTTATTGAAAAGCATCAATAAATTTTATTATTCTTAGCAGATTTGAGTTAAGTAATAACACTCTTAGGACTCTGATCTTTTAAAATATGGCTTTCTCACAAGACGGTACTTTTTTACCCTAAATAAATTACTCTGAATGATAGCTTAGGTCATATTGTTAATACTGGGCATTCCTTCTGGCTCTAAGCTTCTTTTCCTTGGAATGACAGAACATCCGATGAATGTACTATGTATCAGATATAATTATGTCTCCTATCTCCATTCCTCAAGAAATAAATATTGAATCTGAAAAGTCTGACAGTATAAATATGATAAAGTATCATTTGTAGTACTGTAATATACTTTGGGATCATTCAGGGCTACGGGAACTTTGTAAAGGCTTTCCCTCCCTATTGAGTTATATTACACTTCTTCTTTTTTTAGAAATTCCATGAAGAAAATCCTGATTTCAAGATACCCTGAGATCTTGCGATTCCATGAGGATTATTGAACTGTTACTTTAAAAAGAAAACAAAATATGAAAAACTGTGATTAAATAAATGGATGGATTTTACTCTGACTGCAAAAGAGCACACCTGTGCTGCCTATTGCAGTGATTAACCACCATTGTTAACATCTTTTTATTTTATATTCCTAATAACAGTGATGACTGAGAATATATTTGAGTTTCCAGCTGACAGAATTAATTGTTGCTATTTTCCTAGGCATTATTTCTTTAAAAATACAGTTTAAATTGATAAGCTGGATCACTCAGTTATTATTGCTATTAGAAAATAATTCATGTTTCATGTTTACTTTTGTTCTTCATTCAGATTTTCTTTCCTGTATTTAGTCAAGTAGTGGCTTTTGAAAAAGGAAAGTTCAAATCATAACTTAGGCTGTGATTTTTCAGTATAAAAAGCACAGCTATTGGCCAAAATGAAGCAGTCTTTATTCAGTTTCTATAGAGAAACTGAAGGGGTAACATTCTGACAGGTAAGCTGTATTAAGAGCTCTACACAGATAAGAGGACTCTATTTATCACAGACAACACACAAACTGGGAACAGCTGGAATGCTATTGATTTTATTTTTCAGAGAGTTGTTAATTCTCTGTGTTTCTGTTAAGGGTTTTAGCCATAACTGTGCATAGAAAAATATAAACATCTTGCTCTATTTAAAAATGAAGGGGATAATATATGGTAAATTATGTTCTGATATCCTCCTACAATAGTTAAAACTGACAGAGTAATTCAAGTCTGTTTTCTTCTTATCCCAGTCTTGAACTGGTATTCCATTTTTATGTTCAGCGATACTATTCTTCCCCTCTTCTTCACTTTATTTTAGACAATTAGTAATATATTACTAGCTTTGTGATCCTGTAGTAACTTAAATGAAAAGACCACTTTGATCTGGGGTAACCCAGCAACTCCTGCAGCACAGGCCGGGGGGTATCCTTTCAGGAATGAGGGGAGCTGACTCCTGAGAAACAAGAAACAATGCATTTTTTTTCCATGAACGGTGCTGTTCTGAAGTCTTCAAATTTTTCCCTCTAATAGGAAACAGTGTAAATGTTAATCTGAAAAAAAAAAAAGACAAACTAAAATTTCTTGAAACATCACTTCTCCCTGAGCTGCAGTGAGTGTAATTCACTTGTCACCTCAGTGCTTTACAGTTTGAAGTGGTCACTTATCTGATGGTTCCCACAAGCCTTAGGCTTTACAGGGTCATATCATTGACTTAATATGAAGAATTAATTTGTGTTACATCTATAGAGAGCAAAATAACACACTCCAGAACTTGCAGTTGTAGCATTAGTTATACAGATTTGGGTGTTCTCACCACCCATGGGATGCCTGCTTCTCTCTACAACCTGTTGTCTGGACACATGCTTATGTCTTACTCTCCTTTTGGCATGTAGAAAGCTGTTAATACAGTTTAAGGCCAAATTGTGTGTGGCTTCTATATGTAGATAAGATGTTTTGGCATTCTTGTCAGTTTCATTTATTTTTTTAAGTGTACAAAAAATAGCCTGTTAATTGTTTGTTGAAGGCTACAATTCTGTTTTTTATTTTTTCTATCTGATACATTTAGCTGAACTTTGTGGAATTGTGGTGTTGGTTTTGTTTATACAGTCAGATTTTTCCCCCTTTTTGTGATGGTCTTCCTTGGTTCTTTGTGCTCTTCTTTAATTTGTTTTTTCTCTTTGTTCTCATTTATTCTTCCCTCCACCCCCAACCCTTTCTTTCTCTCTCTGATTGAGAGTCATTGAATTATGTTTTCAGTAGTACAGGCTTCTTGCCGATATGAAGGGAACTTTTCAGAAAGAGACCTACTCTGGGTCATTTAATTTTGAATACAGTTTTCAATCGTTCAAGTTTTGGATGGTTTATATCTAATGTGTGTTTCATTTTTTTGGAAAGCTATATTTTGTATTTAGGAAATGGTATACTATTTTGCTATTTGTACTGAGTGAGTACATTGGCATAAATATAGAAATTTATATATATACATATATATAAACTATTCTTTTTTTGCCACACATTTTTGTGGTAAATTTGTGAGTTTGTCTGATGTTCTACCACAACGTGGCGTCTGATAAAAGTGAGGGGGGGTTTGTTATGTCTTTATTGAGTATTTAAGTATCTTTTGAAACAAATGACCTTTTCATCTGTGGCCATTCCATCAGGCGGTTCCTTGATGTGATTAGTGGGCTAAAGGCAGCTCACTGTGTTTTCGCTGGATCTTTCACTCAGCAAAACGTTAGAGTAAGGAAACCAATCCAGGCAGTTGTGTCAAATTGAGTTTCACAAGAATGAGCCATTCAGTCTTTGCTCACTATATATTTAATATTTTATTATTGTTGTTATTGTTATTATTAATTGGCTTTCTGTATTCTATGCCTTTTATTTATAAAGACACTAAAAAAACCCCCATGTTTGTAATTTTAATAACATTTTCCCCATCTTGTAATATCCAGAGCTACTTTATAAATTCTCTAAACCAAAAGCATTTTCCTCAGTATATCTCTCTCTCCCCACCCCATCAGGAAAATTTACCCAGTATAGTTCAGGGTATGAGAAGGACCACACAATCCAGTGCTCCAGTTTTAAAATGTAAAACTCTTAACTGCAGAGGGTTGACTCATGTCAGTAAGCTTATCCACTGGTATAAAAATAAGAAGTAGAAATAAAATGCTGTATTTATTTCTGAGTTTTCTGAATTTTTTCCCAAGAGATTACACAGGAGACTCAGGAAGTCTATTTGTTCATCAAGTTCCAGTTAGAATGTTAACACTGCTGTATGGATAAAGTGGTGGCAAGAAGACTGGCTTGGGTGCTGACTTCTGTTATTTAGCAAGAAGTTTATCATTGTAAAATGCTGATTGCCAATGCCAAGTCACCAGGGACCAATTTTCTGTTTTATAATATCTAAGTTTAGAACAGAACATACTCCTGAACTGTAGTGGTTTGATTGGATGGAGGCAGAAAACCCAATTTTTATTTTCATAAGTTTTGTGGTTATTTGTACAAGGGCTGTGCTAAGATACCATATTCTTATTCAATAATGATGATTTTTTTTTTTTTTACATTGTTAAATGTTCCTTACCCCTAAAAGGTCAATGTTAAGTATAGCATTCAGAACATACTATTTGGTTACAAAAAGTACTCGTCTTCTTATTGAAGAGTTAGCTTAGTGGTCAGTGGTTGATACTTGTGCTAATAATGCAGTTTCAAGATTACTGTTACAAGTTATATCTACATATAGGAGAGACTCCATGAGCCAACAGAGGCCTTGGAAACAATTTATTAAATTTACTTATGGCAGAAGGACCTAAATAAACTATAAACCACATTTTATTCCTTTTTATTGTTACATTCAATCGTTCTTGCTTTTAGCAACTCACATTAATGCTTGGAGCTTACCTGTGTGTCTGCATGAGTGTACACGTGCACGCGCATGTGTATGTGTTTGTGCGTGTGTGTGTGTTTTATTCCTTATTGTCATTCCATTATATATCCACACCAACATGGGAGAAAATAATTAGAAGTCATATTTTGCTTCTGAGCTTTATCATGTTACCTTATTCTAATTACAAATAGAGTATCATGTTGTTATCTGACCAATGGAAATCTGTTTTCGCCAGTCTCCCTAGAACAGGTGTTTAAAGGGCTTTGTTTATTATAGAAGCAGTATTAATGAGGGACCTTCCTTCCTTTCTTTTTTTGTAATACTGTATATGCTGTAGTTGGGAATTTCATTATAGTGCATTTCTTGCCCATCAGAACCTCAGTTAATCTGCCTAGGAAAAATGTGTCAAAGGGAATGAGAAAAGAAGTTATAATATTTGAGTCCCTCCAGAACTAAGATAATAATTCCTTTTGACCATTTAAGCCATTATAGATGCTTATTTTGGAAAAGTGAAGTCTGTTTAGATGCATCAGCAATTATAGACCAGAAATTAAATGCTTTAATAACCAAAATCTCAAATTCAGCATGGTTTATAAATATTCACTAGGAGTAATTTGAGAATGTTTCATCTTTCTGGTGAGAATTTCTGTTCTAGTATCTGTTTTCCAGTTGATTTTTTTCTAATTAATTGAAAATTATATGAGACCTATTAGCTTTACTCTGGTTCATGACCACAGGCTTCATCCCTAACCAAGACAGCCACATTATATCTGCATGCCTTTGGTTATATGGAGAGCCTTAATGAGAGAGAGAGAGAGAGAGAGAGAGAGAGAGAGAGAGAGAGAGAGACTGTATATAGTTCATCAGCTTTAGAATCTCATAACATGTATTAAAAAAAGGTTTTCTTCTCTGCTTATGTGTGTCACTAGAGCTAAATCATGAAGATAATGTTCATACTGTAGTAAATATCAGAATAATACCTAGAATATCATTTGTGAATTGTCCCAGTACTCTAATTGCTTCTTTAATCCCCATTTGTTTTCGTGTCATTCTAGCCTCATTTATTAATAAAATTCTATTTTTACTCCATTTTCTCTTTCAGGAAATTTTTTTAATTAATATTTTAGATCTAGATGAAATGCTTATGGAAAAGTGCCTTTTTACCATGTTAGTGCCCCTTTCTTGTAATTTCATTTTTCATTGTTGCCAAAAACACATAGCAAATGACTGTAATAGTCTCAACTTTCATTTTTTCTGTTTAGTCATTCTTTTCTCCATATCTTGATCACCATAGAAACAACTTCATGACTTTTTAATGCCCTTTGGCATAAGAGGAACAGAAAAGATACATAGCTAGAATTGTTTCTTTGAAGGAGGCTAAGTAAAAGATCACAAAATTATACTATTTAGCGTTTATAGAAATTAGCTAAATTTGTCTTCATCTTGACCAACTAATAATAGGTCTTATCTGAATGCTATCGAAAATTTTACTATATGTGAGACTATGTACACAAATATGGATAGTTAAATTTCAGAAAGGAAGTGTTTGAAGCACCTTCTCTGATCTTTATTATAAGATGGGTGAAAATAAACCACTAACACATAGTTTAGGTAAAGCTTAGTAATGTCATTTTTTCTAACCATACGGAGTCAAATAATTCATTATAGCGTACTTCTTGTCCATCAGAACTTTAGAAATCTGCCTATGAAAAATAGTGTCAAAGGAAATGAAGTTGTATCTGAGTCCCTCCAGAACTAAAATAATTCCTTGCAGCCAAATACAGTTGGATTGAGTATCCCTCTGTTTTTTGTTAATTTTGCCTATGTTCCAGCTCCTTACCATAGTGGTGGTGCCTGAAGAAAGAGCCATCAGCAACAAACAGGTCAGGAGAGTAGTAGCTTAGGGATAGAGCTGCTTTCCCCATGTGAGTATTTCTGTGACTGTTAGTGGCACTAAAGACTGCAAACCTTTATGCAATATTCTCAATACCCTAATGATATTATGCACTTTAATCATTCCAAAGAAGTCAAGAATGCTGTATAGTTATGATTCCTTCTTGATGAGTATATCTGAACTGTTTAGAATATTTATGTCCCTTTTTATTTTGGATAGCCAACTTGGTATGTTTTGGAAATATTTTCTAAAATGTATAGTAGGACTTAAGACTTTGAAATGTAACTGACTATAACGGGAAATTATTACACTTCAGAAAATCATTTTAGAAACATTAAAATGTTCGGCTTTCTAATTATATGTTTGAGAGTTAATTAAAACCAGCCTTCTTCCTATATTTTTTGTTTCATATTAATAGCATTATAATATATAGTTTTCTACATATATAGTATGTATAAACCAATGGTTCTCAAAGTGTGGTCCTCAGCCCACCAGCCAACATCCGTATCACCTGGGAACTAGTTAAAAATGCAAAATCTTGGGCCTTATCCCAGACATAGTGAATCAGAAACTCTGGAGTGGGACTCGGCAATCTGTTTTTTAACAAGCCTTTCAGGTGATTCTGATACATGCTAAAGTTTGAGAACCCCTGGTGTAAACTGTATACAGTAAGATTAGAAAGGGCTTTTTTTCCCACTCACAGACACAGTTATACATTGTTTTTAATGTAAATTCAATTTAACCTGGTTATCTATAATCATTTATTGGCAATGATAATTTATTCTCAGTACTGCCTATAGAAATATAGTATATTTTATGTACATATACAGTTAGTCTAGTTATTGATAATTCAGTTAACTTAGTTTGGCATTTTCATACCACTTACTAAAAAGTTTACATTAAATGACTGATTTAAATATATAGGTGCAATGTTCTGTGTTTATTTTAACTATTATGACAGTTAAGTAGCTAATACAATTGACGGGTGCTAAAGTCTCCTGTTTATCCATAAATTGGATACATTATGGGCAGTGATAATAAAAGCTTTCTTTTTATTGCCTCTTACTTTACCAGCAGACCACAATTTTGGCCCATCTAGACCAACTCTCAGAACAAAATTATTTGTCATTCCTTATATTTACATTTGTATCTGAGCT